TGTCCTCCGCATTTCAGGGCCATCACAACCTTGAAAGAAGACTTACCGATTCAATAGCAGAAACTTGAGTATAAATGTTCTCTAGGTTTTCAACAGTAACATATTCTCCTTGTGAAAGCTTAAATATATTCTTCTTTCGATCAATAATTTTCATGCTTCCATTAGGTTTCCACTCTCCAATATCTCCTGTTTAATAAATCATACATGAATAAAACAGTACCATATACTGCAACAACATATAAACATCATCAAAACTTCAACTGAAAGAACCTGTATGGAACCATCCATCGATAGTAACTTCTTTCGAAAGGTCTTCGCGTTTGTAGTACCCTGAAAATACACTACTTCCCCTCATACAGATTTCTCCTCTTGGTGTGGTTGCAAGTGCATCATATCCCATTTCTGTTAAGATTAATATTTTGATATTTATTTTTAATTAAATTAAGTATTGCAGCACATTAGAATGTGTCAGCTTATTGTTAGCTATTTTATTGTTTCAGTCAATGTCAGTACCTAGATTTTAGGAAGGAATAAACTGCTCCACATATAATGGGGCAGTTAGGGAGATCGTGTGATATTATGTAAGCCTATTTATTGGCCTTTTCTTATTCAATTAAGTAAGTTTTCCAGCATTTGATTCTAACATCTGGTATCAGAGCAGAAAATTTCACAAGAAATCAAGAGAGAAAGAGCAGATGGCGTCCGAAGGCGGCGATCGTTTTAATCTACCATCAATTCCTAAATTTGATGGTGATTATGATCACTGGAGCATGCTCATGGAGAACCTTCTCCGTTCGAAAGAGTATTGGATTGTTGTGACCACAGGCCTCGTTCAACCCGCTGCAGGAGAAGTGCCGACGGCTGCACAGAGAAAGACGGCGGAAGAGATGCAGTTGAAGGACCTGAAAGCCAAGAATTACTTGTTTCAATCTCTTGACAAGTCAATTCTGAAGACAATCCCAAAGAAGGAAACATCGAAACAAATCTGGGATTCAATGAAGATGAAATACCAGGGCAATGTTCGAGTTCAGCGATCCCAACTCAATCGATTGCGCAGAGAGTTTGAGATCCTTGCCATGAAGCAAGGAGAATCAATCAATGATTACTTCGGTAGGGTAATGATGATTGCAAACGATATGAGGAATTACGGTGAAGATATGACTGATGTCAAGGTCGTCGAGAAGATTTTGAGAACCCTCACTGAAAAGTGGAACTATATTGTGTGTTCCATTGAGGAAGCCAATGATATGGACAAGCTTACTGTCGATGAGCTGCAAAGCTCCCTTCTTGTGCACGAGCAAAAATTCAAGAAGGAAGTAGATGAAGAGCAAGCACTCACGGTGGCATACGGTGAGAACAATGGTGGAAGAGGACGAGGCAGCCGCAGAGCTTTCAGAGGAGGAAGGGGCAGAGGAGGCAGAGGCCGGCAACCCTATAGCAAGGCAACCATTGAATGTTATAAGTGCCATCAGTTGGGTCACTTTCAGTATGAGTGTCCAAATATGGCTAAGCAAGCAAATTACACTGAAATTGAAGAAATTGAGGAGATGTTGCTCATGGCTTATCATGAATCATTTGGGCAAAGCAAAACTGATGTGTGGTTTCTAGATTCAGGATGCAGTAATCACATGTGTGGAGACCCGTCATTATTTAATCGGTTGGAAGATGGATTTCAAAGAACAGTGCGGCTAGGGAATCATATGCAGTTAAATGTGGTTGGTAAAGGTACTGTCAGGCTATACTTTGGAGGCAATAGCTATCTTGTTCAGGATGTCTTCTATGTTCCAGAACTAAGGAATAATCTTCTTAGCCTTGGACAACTGCAAGAAAAAGGATTAACAGTGGTGATGAAGGATAATAAATGCTGCATTTATCACTCAACAAAGGGCCTCATCCTTCAGAGTAACATGACCTCCAACCGTATGTTCGTTGTGCTCTCTGATAAGTATTCTGACAAGGACACAAAAGAAGTTTGTCTGCAGTCCACAACCCAAGATTCGGTACAGCTTTGGCATCGAAGGTTTGGCCATCTCGGTTACACAGGATTGCGCATGTTGAAGGACAAAGAGATGGTGAAAGGGATGCCGTGTCTTCTCGGACCTGATTCCATTTGCACAGATTGTCTGAAAGGAAAACAACATAGAGAAAATATTCCAAAAAAAAGCATATGGCGTGCTTCAACTAAGTTGGAATTAATCCATGCTGACATCTGCGGACCCGTCTCACCAGCTTCAAATGGCCAAAAGAGGTATTTGCTTTGTTTCATTGATGACTTTAGTAGGAAAGCATGGGTCTATTTCCTTGCTTATAAAGCTGATGCATTTGCTGCCTTTAAGCAATTTAAGAGTAGTGTTGAAAAAGAGTCTAGTCTGTCTATTAAGTGCTTAAGAACAGATCGTGGAGGAGAATTTACATCAAGTGCTTTCAATGATTATTGTAAAGATAATGGAATCAAGAGACAACTAACCACAGCTTACACGCCGCAACAAAACGGAGTAGCCGAGAGGAAGAACAGAACAGTGATGAACATGGTAAGAAGTATGATGGTTGATATTCCTAAGAGTTTTTGGCCTGAAGCTGCGAGTTGGGCGTTCTACGTGCTTAACAGAAGTCCAACTTCTTCTGTGAAGGACATGACACCAATAGAAGCTTGGAGTGGGATAAAGCCATCTGTAGAACATTTTAGGGTGTTTGGTTGTATAGGACATGTACATGTGCCTGACGCCAAACGCACTAAACTAGAGAATAAGAGCAGAAGTTGTGTACTGTTTGGGGTTAGTTCAGAATCAAAAGGCTACAGACTATTCGATCCCATAAGCAAGAAAGTCATTGTTAGTCGGGATGTTGTGTTTGAAGAAGAGAAAAAGTGGAGCTGGGATAAGAGTTATGACAGCTTGATAAGCCTTGATCTAGACTGGGGAGATGACATAAATGAAGGAGAAATTGAGACTCAAGATGTTACCAATGAAGATTCTGATGTTATTATAGAAACTGTCACTGAAGAAGATAAAGCAAGCATAGATGAAGAGGGAAGTGATAGAGAAAACACTATGGCAGCGGCTGCGTCATCTCCTGAAGCCACAAATACAAGGGAAGGAGATTGTGTCAGAAGGACAGGTCGTATCAGAAGGAGACCAGTGTGGATGACAGACTATAATGTCAATGATGAAGCTGAAACTGCTGAAGCAAGTCAAGATCACACCTCACATTTAGCCTTATTCATAGAATGTGATCCTATTAGCTATGAAGAAGCTGCTAAGATCCAAGAATGGAGAAATGCTATGAATTCAGAAATTCAATCCATTGAGAAGAATGAAACATGGTTTCTCACTAATCTACCGGAGGGAGCCAAAAGTATAGGAGTAAAATGGGTTTATAAGACTAAATTGAATCAATATGGAGAAGTTGAAAAGTACAAAGCTCGGTTAGTTGCAAAAGGATATGCACAAGAACACGGAGTTGATTATGAGGAAGTATATGCACCAGTCGCTCGGATGGATACCGTGAGGATGATTTTAGCATTGGCAGCTCAGAAAAGTTGGATAATCTATCAGCTAGATGTAAAGTCAGCTTTCTTGCAAGGAGAACTCTCCGAAGAAGTGTATGTAGACCAGCCAAGAGGGTATGAAATCAAGGGTGCTGAAAGAAAAGTGTACAAGCTTCGTAAGGCCCTATATGGATTGAAGCAGGCACCACGTGCATGGTTCAGCAGGATAGATACTTACTTTCAGAAGATGGGATTTGTAAAGGATGTCAGCGAGCAAACACTCTTCACGAAATTCAACAAACAAGGTAAATGCCTAATTATTAGCTTGTATGTTGATGATTTGATCTACACTGGTAATGATCAAACTATGATGAATGAGTTTAAAGAATCCATGATGAAAGAATTTGAAATGACTGATTTGGGAAGAATGAAATACTTCCTGGGAATTGAGGTGTTGCAGCTTGATAATGGAATTTTCATGTGTCAAAGAAAGTATGTGAAAGAGTTACTAACAAAATTCAGAATGGAGGAAAGCAACTCTGTCTTAAATCCTATCGTCCCGGGGTTTAAGATTCACAAAGATGAAGAAGGTGTGAAGGTAAATATCACACTCTATAAGCAGCTTGTGGGAAGTATGATGTATGTGACAGCCACTCGGCCAGATGTAATGTATGCTGTTAGTCTGATTAGCAGATACATGTCTATGCCAACTGAACTTCACTTTGCAGCAGCCAAAAGAATTTTAAGGTATTTGCAAGGGACTATTGAATATGGGCTCTTTTACAGGAAAGAAGGAAACAGAGAGCTAGTAGGATTCACCGACAGTGATTACGCTGGATGTGTGGAGGACAGAAAAAGTACATCCGGGTATACCTTCATTCTCAGTGATGCAGCAGTGGCATGGTCCTCCAAGAAACAACCAATTGTTACTCTAAGTACAACCGAAGCAGAATTTGTGGCAGCAGCAGCTTGCTCTTGTCAGTTAATATGGATGAAAAGAGTGTTGGGCAAAATTGGCTATGAAGGAAGCAGCAACCCTGTTATTTTCTGTGATAACAACTCAACAATCAAGCTATCAAAAAATCCGGTGATGCACGGCAAAAGCAAACACATCGATGTAAGGTTCCACTTCCTACGTGAGCTGGTGAATGAAGGAGTTGTTCAGTTAAAATTTTGTAGCACGCATCAGCAGGTTGCAGATATATTTACTAAGCCACTCGACACAAGAACCTTCCAGGGACTTAGAAAGAAGCTAGGAGTATGTGATGCACCAAAGTTAAACTGAATTGGATTGATCAGTTTAGGAGGAGATGTTAAGATTAATATTTTGATATTTATTTTTAATTAAATTAAGTATTGCAGCACATTAGAATGTGTCAGCTTATTGTTAGCTATTTTATTGTTTCAGTCAATGTCAGTACCTAGATTTTAGGAAGGAATAAACTGCTCCACATATAATGGGGCAGTTAGGGAGATCGTGTGATATTATGTAAGCCTATTTATTGGCCTTTTCTTATTCAATTAAGTAAGTTTTCCAGCATTTGATTCTAACAATTTCAGGCACAGATTTCAGACACACTTCCAGATATGGTAAAGTAGGGTCAACTGTACCAAGCATATCTATTTCGTTTGGTATTGCCAAAAAGGATCCGGCACATGTTTCAGTAAGACCTACAACAGCCAAAATTAAGTCCATATTCTAAAACCAATTTATGTTGACTTAATACATCAGTAATCTCACACATAAAGGTAACAAAAGTTTATGATAATTCAAATGTAGAGAAAGAACATACCATATCCTTGTAGGATATGAGCACAAGTCACCACACGCAGGAAACCTTCAACATGTTTAGACAGAGGTGCAGCTCCGGAAAAAATAATACGTACTTTACCCTCTAAAGCATCTTTTACTTGACTATGTTTCAAAAACATGATTATTAGTAGTACAGGAAAATTTTGTTACAGTCGTTGTTTGTTTGGACCAAGACAACATTGAGTTAAAATATATGAAACTACAATCACCTTATTAAATAAAACTTTGTCAAATAATGGAGACGCTGAATCATGTTTTTGCCCTCTTTTCAAGTTAAGCAACTTGCTGCAACATATTTCATAGTTTGTATTGTCAGAACATTGCAATGCGTCATCATCTTCTAAATGAGATTTTGTGCGCTTTGATTTACATATGAACACTCATACAATAATCAATCATAATTCCATCATATAACTCTATTAATGCAAAAACACAGTACTTACAATGAGTAGGCAAAATTGAACATAGTCTGCTTCACAAAGCCCCCAGTCTTAAGCTTTTGTTGCAAACCTGTGTAACGTTCATTTCACTATTATTATCATCATTATTACTATTATTGGTGAGAGGAAAAATGTTCAAATAAATGTAGACGAGAAATAAGGAATTCAAGAAAAAGACCACTTTAATGACTAAAAACTAACTTAAATAGTATAGTATTGCTCTTCATGAAATCATAGTTTTATCATAAACATCCCATGATGTAGGAAAGATCACTAAACTTTCAACAATGACAAACACATACCTGTGTACACTCTATCAAGCACACGAGGAACATCAATAAAAATAGTTGGTTTTAACTCAGCAATGTCTTCCATCAACAATTTGACATCCTGCAGCCACATTGAATAAATAATGCTCATATAATCATCAAATACAAAATTGACTTTACTTGAAATTTTTTTTTTATAAATTCAATATACTATAATCACTTTCTGCCTTCATTCAATAATGAAATATATATATGTGTGTGTGTGTGTGTGTGTGTGTGTGTATGTGTGTGTGTGTGTATGTGTGTAAACTCACCCCACGCCAGAAACCTATTGAAGCACCAACTTATATCATTGCCTCTTCAACAACTCTGTCAAAAATGTGTGCAAGTGGAAGGTATGATAGGAAACTATCTTTATCACTCAACTGCAAGCAGGAACAAGACAAGAGGGATATGAGGAATTCAAACTATAGGATAGCAAAATATTCATTATCCAAAAACCGAAAATAGCATTTTAGGAGCAATTTAGTTTTGTAACATAGAAGCTATACGACTCTAGTGTAGAGAAATTTGGACAAAATTATTATTGTTTTGCGATAAGTTACGTAGTACAAAATGTTGTCAAACAAGGACTATAGCAGTGTTGTGTAGTATAATTTGATCTACATGCTATTTTTACAAGCCCAAAAATATCCACATCCACTCTTGAGTAGCCGAGTGCATATGCCACTATGCTCAATTAGCCTATGCTCAAACTTGAAGTCACTCAAATGTAAAGCATCAATATGTATATGTAATGCATAAAAAAATATTGGCTCATAAACATCAAAATAAACAATATTTTAGTGAATCAGTGTACATATAAAAAAAAGCTACATTATTGTGTGTTCTTGATAACCATTCCCCATTCCTTAATGATAAGGAGCATTTATCATCATGTGGTTATAAAACTATACTAAACTTTAACTTTTATAATGAGGCAGTAAAGAGAAGAAATTCTTAGTATAGCAATAGATAAACAATGGCAGGAAAAAAACTAGAGAACAAAATGTGGAGTTAAAGTTAGGTTATGGTATATCATTTATTGGTCGAGACAACCCCTCATATCCTGTGGTTAGAGAGTAGCCAGGTTATATATATCTTGATGCAGAAGCACTAGTGCCAGTAATACCAATGCTACTAGTACTAACTAATTACTAACTCTGTGAATCATTTATCAAATTTATGAAGTTTACATTTTTTGTTTCATAGATTAAAAAAACAAAGAAATAAGTTATCCCCAAAATATGATTATGGAAATTTAATTTCTATGTGTTTTTTTATTTCAAGAAAGTGTTTAGTTCCTATGTTTTTCTCACCCATGAGACTTATAAAAGTTATTTTAGAAATAATTTGTGTTTTGTTTTACTATTACTGTTTGTACTTTGATGACTTTATTCCTACATAATTTTTGTTAGAATATAGTTTTTTTTGATAAAATTTAATGATTAAAAAATCATAAATATTATATTTCCAACCTTGTAACAAACATGCATATTAGACGAGATTTGATAACAAACTAAATGCAAATGTATCCCTCTCCATTCATAAGTCCAATTTTTTGTGCTAATACTAATACTTTAGAAGAAAGATGAGAGCTAAATGCATCCCTCTCCATTCATATGTCTAACTTTTTGTGTTAATACTAATTCTTCAACAAACAAACCTTCTAGGATTTCACGTGCCAACCTTGACAAAGTATCGGTGAACTGATTCATGAACTTAGATCTAAGGCTATCCACTTCTCGAATATAAAGGTTGATTGTCAACCATATTGATAAAAGTGAAACATCTTTGTGACCTGAGGAATAGAAAGAAAAAAATTTATCCAATCCAAAGTTATACAAATAATTCAATTGATTTGATGATATTTTTTAATTCCAAATAACATATTGCATTATGCAAACACAGAAAATAACATGCCACCACCACAAGAAAATTATGAATAAATAGCTCATACCTTAAAGAACAATTGACCTTTTCTATCTTAACATTTCTCAAAGTAACATAATAAGCATTAAATTTAATTTTACAAAATATACATGATATGTTCAAATTGTCAAATGATATCACTACAGTAGAAGAATATAGTTTTACTCTTGGAAAAGTTCTCAACCATTACAATTAATCTCATTTATTATTACTCATAAAAAGAAAAACCACAGGTAGTTTGCACTTGAACGGATGTGAAAGAAGCTCACCTTTGTCGTCACGTTTAGGTTCCCATCTCTATCACCTCCCATCCAAGTTCCAAACTTTATGAGTGCAAGTCAGGGGAAGTGACTTTCATGTATGCTGCAACATAAGGGATTATAGATTGTATTTGAAAATCTTTTAAAAAAATGTGTTTGTACAGAAGAACAATTAATTTGTATAAGGTGAGCTGTAAGAACAATTTCAACCTCCTGAAGCAACACAAATTACAAAATGATATTTAAAATGTATAAGTAACAAGAAGTTTAGAACTGCATTACCGATTGAAACACCATTAACAATAAAATCATCATTTAAAGACTCATTATAATGACAATGTGAGATCATTCTCTATAATAATTCTCAATGTATGCATATAGACATGAAAAAACAATGAACCTGCTTGTAGACTGTGTTATAAAAGTCATCAGTGGAAACTCCACCCTGCACAAGCTGGTTAAATACGTCATCACACGATTTTGAAATTTGTGCCATATTCCATTCTTTATGAACCCTACAAAGGCAACTTATGAATAAGATATTATCATTACCATGCATAGTAGCAACATGTAATATATGCACCTATACTTCCGATGGCGGCACAATAAATCAACAAATGAATGTAAAGGATAATATGTGGCGCGGTGGTTTTTGAGGTATTCGGCGATGGATTGCGGGGAACTAATCCTAACCCAGGAAAACTCTTCAATCTCGACAACAAAATAGGTGAATACATGATAACATCATAGCATAGACAAATAAGTTTTAGGTCAAAATAAGAATGAAGAATTTGAACAAACCTCATTAAAATTGAACCTTGTTGGAGTTCGAAAATGAAGAATTTGAATAACCTAGTTGAAATTGAACTCCGAAAATTAAGAAATTGAAAGAACCTCGCTGCAATTAAGGAGAGCTTGAAAATTTCACTGTTTCCAACTGCCTCTGTGTATGTGGTCGAAGATGAGGTTGTTTGAAACAAAAATATTAAAAATATTATGTTAGACTGTCATGAAAATTATAATAATTATAATGATTATTTATTAAATTAATTAATAAAATTAAAAAGATTAGAAAATAAAAATGAAAGAAAAAAGTGGAATTAAAGGAATAAAAAAAATAATGATTATAATTGGCTAAAATAATTGCGACAGTTCGTCTTAATTGTCGCGAGTGTGAAAACAGGGCGGTTCTTTGGTAACTGTTGCAATTATTTTATACAACATGCCTAAAAAATCTGCGACGGTTGGCTCAAACCGTCGTGAGAACTGTCGTAATTTAAAAATAAGGACGGTTTTTTGATAACTGTCGCAAAAAATCTACGACAGTTGACCCTAACTGCCGTGACAACCGTCGCAATCCATGAATAAGGACGGTTTTGTGATAACTGTCGCAACTCAAGTGTCGTAAATCTCCTTTTTTCTTGTAGTGTAAGTAACTCTACAAATCGGAAGATCACATATCCGGAACCTTCAACGATTTCAATGACAAATATAAGTACGTTTCCGCCTTCATTCTCATAATTGTATTCAGATATGGGTTTAAGTGATACAAGTTGATGCCATATCGACTTATATGAATTATTTTAGAGTTATATTCTTGATTTTTATATCGGTAGAAATCATAAAGTTTTGAACGGATCTAATATCTCCTGCTCTTGCTCTTGTCTGATGACATGGATACCTACAAATACTTTAATGCTAAAGAGAGTGATGGCTGGAAAGGAGAGATATCTTTAAGATAAAAATAGTATGTACTTGATTAGGGACCTTCGTTAGGATATTCAACTAAGTTTATATGATTTGAATATCTAAAAACTTCTCTTTAGGACACCTTATCTCTAAGAATATATGTACGAAGATCATGTACCCTTTAAATCTGACGACCAGACTTATCTCGTTGAAGGTTTATTTATTGATCATTTACATATACAAGAAACAATAATGATCTATATGATTAGAAGATAAGAAGAATACATTAAACAAGTGAGCAAGTGAGCAAAGAAAACAATAGAAAAAGTAAATAACAAAGTGGAGGATTAAAGGTTCAAATGAGACTATTTTTAGAAAGAGGTAGCATGATGAGGCTATTTAAAATACTATAATTAGTTGAAAAGAAAATTAATGTTTGTCTCTCTTTTGCAATCTATGGAAGGTCTACAATAACTAATTTCTTTATGTTGCAAATAAAGCCATATAACTCAAATAAAGCGAGGGATTAAAATCCCAAAAAAATAATTAAAATAGAGGAATCAATAAATCAGATTTTAATAAATCTGATTTTAAAATGGAAAAATTAAAACTAAAAAATAATGTAAATGAAAGATCAAAATTGCAATTAAATCGTTAAAAAGTAAATATACCCTAGTCTACACGGAGCAAAAGCTGTACACAAATTCGGCGTAAATGACAAAAAAAAGTCACGATTTTGAATTCGTTGCATGTACCGCAGGCCAGTACCTGTTTAATCTTGTCTTGAAGGGTGGGGATAGCATTTACCAACAGAAATTGCCTTGCCTCTCGGATTCAATCTCTACCTAGAACGGTTCTATTTCCATCAATATTGATTCCTATCCCCTTTTGATCCAACTTCATTCATTATCCTACAGGTACACCGTAATTTCTCAGATTCTCATTTTCTCCTTCAGATCCAATTTATGATTTTTTTTCCAGCTTCTAGAGGATGATTTTCTAGAATAGCGACTGGGTTTCACTATTTATTATATGGAATTTTGACAAGGGTTTTTGGTGATACATAGCTATGGGTTCCAAAAATGTGGAGAGTAAAGCATGGAAATGGGGTTTAGGTTTGATATATATAATAGCTGTTGCACTAATATGGATAGCTGCTAGCTTTGTAGTGCAATCTGTTGTAGATGATGGTGTATCACCATTTCTTGTTACTTACATATGTAATTCTTTGTTTGTGGTCTTGCTTCCAATCGTTGAGATCGGGAGATACTTCGAGGATTCTTACAGTGGTTTATCGTTTTGGAAGAGTGATAAGAGTAAAACACATTTGGAAGGGAGGTTAGAGGAGTCTGAGCAGGCTATACTTCTTAGAGATAATGAAGCAAGCGGTGAAGTTGTTGAGTCGTTGGATGTGATTGAAGATAGGAGCGATGGTTCTGAATTGATTCCTTCTGGTAATGTAGTTGGAGGGTTGGTTGGTCGAGTTTCTTTGATTGAAAATGTTGATCAAAGAGGGTTGGATGAGAAAGGGCGTTGGACACGTTGCAGAGTCGCCAAAGTTAGTTTGTTTATATGCCCCTTTTGGTTTTTAGCTCAGCTCACTTTTAATCTGTCGTTGAAATATACTACAGTTACAGTAAGTGAATTTTGATTTTTTGTTCTTGTTTCATTATTTGGCACAAATTTGACATTGAAAATCGATAACAATTTGAATGATTGACATCGTTTAAATGTATTAGTTGCATTCCATGAATGATTAATGAATACAATCATATAATAAGATATTACAACCTATTAACCATTCTTATAATCATCCAAATTATGTTCAAATATACATGAGTTTCATGTTTTCTACGTGATTCTATTGACCACCATTTGTGCTCAAATATACATATGAGGATCGTGGTTAATGATGTTCCAAATTGTGGTTAATTGTGTTTTGTGGATGGTTAATGAGTTGCAACACCTTGTTATATTCATTAATCATATACTAAACATGATTAAGCGTGTATTTGAACTGAATTCACTATCCAAATTATTGTTGAATTTTGTATCAGAATAAAACACCTCTAAATTAGTTACTTTTTCATGTCATATGCAGTCAAATACAATCTTAAGCAGTGCATCCAGTCTTTTTACCTTCTTGGTTTCCCTAGCTTTTTTGGGTGAGAGGTTTACATGGTTAAAGCTCTTTAGTGTTCTTCTTTGCATGGGAGGGACAATAATTGTAAGTCTTGGTGATTCACAATCTGGTTTAAGAACAGTTGCATCAAATCCTCTTCTTGGAGACATTTTTGCGCTTTCTTCAGCAGGATTATATGCAGTGTATATCACCCTTATTCGCAAGAAATTAAATGATGACGATGGAAAGAACGGTGAAGCCAGTATGGCTCAGTTTCTTGGATTTCTCGGGCTTTTCAATGTTTTACTCTTTCTTCCAGTTGCCCTTATACTCAATTTCACTAAGACTGAACCATTTTATATGCTTACTTGGAAGCAGCTTGGTCTGATTATTGGCAAAGGTTTGTATACATTATCTTTTACATTTTCTTTGGTATTTTATGAAGTGGATAAGTTCTTTATGCATTTTTTATAGAAATGAAATTATTATTTGCTAAGAGTAAATCGAACAAATGGTAGTAATGGTCATAGGTTAAACTATTCAGATGGATTTACATTAAATGGTTTAACATTAACATGAGTTGGGCCCTTTTTGGATAAGCTATTTCTGTAAAAGAAGATTAAACAAAATCAAACTATTTTCAAATAAGGTATATGCTGTTTTCATATCTCAGAGAGCTTGTAGAAATAAGCTAAAAACAGCTTAAGGACATGTCATAAGTTGTTTTCATAAGCTCACCCAAACTGTCTCACAGGTGCTTCTGATAAAAACCAGAAAATTTAAGTAACTGTGTATAATTTACTGTAAATGGATGAGCTTAAAGCTCTTCCAATGGGGAAAAATGCAGAAAAACAGAATGTTTGCATCCAACCCACTCTTGCAAACAGCTTTGGTTATTGTTGTTGTATGTATGAGACGCATTCTTATTACCCTTTACTCTTGGTATATGCCCCTTTACATATACTCTATAAATAGCTATGCGTATGAGTCTTTTTTATTGATGGATTTGGCTCCTTTAAGAAGTGCCTTTTAGTAAGAAAACTGAAGAGTTATAACTTTTGATGAAAAAAATCAGTAGGGGATTTAAACAAATGTGTAGTTGTTTGCATTGTATTACAACCTCAAGTATTAATTTTCCAGTCAATATAGGTATAAGTTATAACACATCACTTTTGTTTTCTAAAGTGAATTTCACTTTAGAAAAAACCGAATATCTTTTAGATCTTGGAATGTATAATTGCATGTGTCTTTGGAATGTATAATTGCATGTGTCTTGTTAATGTATAATTGCATGTGTCTTGTTAATAGCATGTTTATTTATAAATAATAAGCTGCTATAAGGTTGACATTGGTTCTTATAAACATAATGAAAATTAATCTGAGACCGAATTGATATATAGCACTTAGTACAATCTTTTTGACTTCAAAGCATTAAGCTTCTGTAGATTGAAACAAAAGGGGAAGGAGCTTATGAATGGCTCATTATCAAATTCTTCATTAAATAATAAAAACTTTCTGATAGTAAAATATGAGTTAGCCTTGAAAATGATGCCAGTATTCTAGCTTTCTATAAATTGTATATAGGATGCATGAGATCAGGAATTCTTCTGCAGAGATAAATTGCAGCTTCCCACCACGTGCTTTGTCTCAGCTTCGCTTTGCTAGCCTTCTGTTACATTACAATAAAGAATTATCACTTTGCCACTCTGACTTGACTGGCTAGTGCTAGAATATAAGAAACGGTTTAGGGCGGAACTAGTCCGCGATTGTCAATCCATTGTGGTATCTGGGAAGGGTGAATATATATGCACAACCATATCCATTTCTAGGGGTAGCAAACGGGCATGACTGCCCTGAAAAAGCCCGCAAAAAATGGGGCGGGGTGGCAGAGTTGAGGATATCCATTTCTAGGGGTGGCAAACGGGCATGACCGCCCTGAAAAAGCCCGCAAAAAATGGGGCGGGGTGGCATGATAGGGAAGAGAAGGAGACTATAGAGAGAGAAAGAATAGAAAGTAGAGATAATGAAGGAGTATTTTCTTTATTCAACAAAAGCATACATTGAATGGTTATTTTCTAACTATATATAACTGTCTAAGCGTTATAACAACTAATAATAGCTGTATACACTAATACATGCATCATATCCCGCCCCTTGAAATCTTCCTTGTCCTCAAGGAAAAGCTGTAACATCAAAATAAGGAAACTGGAGCTTGAGTTTGTATAGCAACTCCCAAGTAGCCTCTTCCATAGCCTCCCCTTTCCACTGAACCAAAACCTCAGTAACTGCCCTATTATGTCTCTGAATCGAGCGCCTCTTCAAAATCTTAAATGGCTCCTTAGGATCATCCAAACTTCCCCATTCTTCAGGAAGTGCGACCATGGGAATGTTTGCATCAGGACACGGTTTCAAGAGAGATACATGGAACGTAGGATGAATCCGCGAAATAGCTGGGAGAATCAACGTGTATGCAACTTTTCCCACCCTATGTAGCACTTGATAAGGACCATAAAACCGAGGAGAAAGCTTTTTGGAAGCACGATATTGAGCAGAAGATTGTCTATAGGGCTGTAACTTTAGGAAAACCCGATCTCCTTCCTTGAATTCCCGATCACTGCGATGTTTATCAGCCTGCCGCTTCATACGTGCTTGATCCCGAACCAAGTTACCTTGTAATTTCTGGATCATCTCCTCCCTTACAATGAAGCTTCGATCTACCGCCTCAACCTTGGTACTTTGAGGGCAATAAGGAAGATGCAGAGGGGGTGCTTGACCATACACAATCTCATAAGGGGTAGCTTGAATAGCAGAATGATAAGTGGTATTGTACCACCACTCAGCCAAAGGTAACCAATTGACCCATTCCTTAGGCCGATGCCATGTCATAGCCCAATTGACCCATTCCTTAGGCCGATGCCATGTCATAGCCCTCAAGTAATGTTCTAAGCAACGATTCAAGACTTCACTTTGACCATCCGATTGAGGGTGGTAGGCTGTTGTTAAGCTCTGAGAAATGCCCAATTGACCAAGGAAAGAACCCCAAAATTTACTTGTAAACAAGGGATCTCGGTCACTCACAATGTTGGCAGGTGCACCATGTAATTTGTAAATTTCAAAAATGAAAATTTCAGCCAATTTTGATGCACTAAAAGGGTGAGCAAGAGGGATAAAATGGACATATTTGCTCAGTCTATCAATAACTACCTAAATCGTGTCTTTACCATGAGATTTAGGAAGCTTTTCAGTGAAGTCCATGGCTATACTTTGCCACACTCCCTCTGGAACTGGCAGGGGCTGAAGTAAACCAGCAACAACTCTAGGTTCATACTTGCATCTAAGGCAAGTCTTACACTGCTGAATGAACTTTGTGACATCTTTGGCAAGGCCCTTCCAATAAAACATGCTCTTGATCCTTGCTATAGAAGCCCTAATGCCCGAATGGCCTCCTTGATGTGAAGAATGAAGCCATTGTAGAATCATCAATCGCACTTGTTCATCATTAGGAATGACCAGCTTCTATTTCCTATACAGCAAATTGTCCACAACAGAAAAATGGGGATGCAAGGTTGGATTAGCGAGAACCTGCTGCTTGAGGCCATGTAAAGCTGAATCTTGTTCATAGCTTTTAAGGAGAGAGTCCCATAACTCAGAAGAAATAGAAGAGACGGTCAATTGTAAAACTTCACCATGCGAGGCTCTCGACAAGGCATCTGCAGCCACGTCATCCTTACCCTTCTTATACAAAATTTCATAAGAAAGACCCATGAGCTTAGTGACCCATCTATATTGGGTTGGAGTAGATAGACGTTGCTCCAATAGGTACTTCAAACTATGTTGGTCAGTAAGAATTGTAAACGTGTTCAGGGAAAAATATTGGTGCCACTTAGAGATTGCATGAACCAATGCCAAGAATTCTCTGTCATAAACTGACAAAAGCCTGTTTTTAGGAGACAAAACCTTGCTAATAAAAGCCACAGGGTGCTTGTCCTGCATTAGCATAGCACCAATTCCAGTGCCTGAAGCATCTGTTTCAACCACAAATGGCTTTTGCATATTAGGTATGGCCAATACCGGAGAATTACTCAAAGCATCTTTCAAGGTAGTGAAGGCGGTGTGTGCCACTTGAGGCCAATGGAAAGAATCCCGCTTGAGTAAATCTGTAAGAGGAGAAGCAATGATGCTGTAACCTTTAATGAACCGCCTGAAGTAACCCGTCAAACCTAAAAATCCCCTCAATTGCTTAACTGTTTGAGGTGCCGGCCAAGCTCTCACAGCTTGAACTTTAATTGGATCAGTAGTAACTCCTGTAGGTGTAATGAAATGACCCAAGTATTCGATCCGTGTAGTGAAGAATGCACACTTACTTCTCTTAACATAGAAGGTGTGAGCTTTGAGGATCTGAAACACTTGTCGAAGATGATCCACATGTGCCTCCAAAGATGAGTTATACACTAGTATGTCATCAAAGAAAATAAGAACACATTTCCTCAATAAACCAGAAAAAATAGTGTTCATTGTTCCTTGAAAAGTAGCTGGTGCGTTGGATAATCCGAAAGGCATCACCACATATTCATACTGCCCCCATGAGTTTGAAACGCTGTCTTTGGTACGTCCTCCGTGTTCATCCTTATTTGATGATATCCAGCCCTAAGATCCAGTTTAGAAAACACCACTGCCCCACCTAATTCATCCAATAAATCCTCCACCAAAGGAATTGGAAATTTAGCCTTTACCGTCATTTCGTTCAACCTCCTATAATCCACACACATTCGCCAACTCCCATCTTTCTTTTTGACTAACACAACTGGAGAAGCAAAAGGGGAAGAGCTTGATTGAATTACTCCCGAATCCAAGAGCTCTCTAACCATGCCATCAATGACATCCTTTTGAGCTGGTGGATATCGATAAGGTCTTAAACTAATTGGGTTAGAACCCTCCTTTAGCACAATTTGATGATCATGAATACCCCTAAAGGGTGGCAGCTGAGTTATCACCAAGAGTGATACTCGCAACCGAAACCTTGTCCCCTTCTTGCGTTCCATCCAACACAAAAAAACGTTCGCATTTCGCGATCCAAGATTCCACATCATCTCGAGTGAATTTTGGAAAATCCAGACGCGTTAATCGCGTTGCTGGTCGAGTTGCTCCGTCGCCGGCGCCACCATGGCGACGCGCCGCCGTTAACTCTGACATTTGCAATCCAATTCCGCGCATGGCTTCTTGCACATTGGTGAATTGAGTTTCGAAACGATTCTCCAATTCACGAATTTGCCTCGTGATACATGGCTCCACCGCCGCCATGATGCGTTCCTCCGCCTCACGAATGGCGTTCTGCATTCGCGTCGCTTCTACCATGAATGGTGTGGCCGAGGTCGACAGGCTCTAGATACCAATGATAGGGAAGAGAGGGAGACTGTAGAGAGAGAAAGAATAGAAAGTAGAGATAAGGAAGGAGTATTTTCTTTATTCAACAAAAGCATACATTGAATGGTTATTTTCTAACTATATATAACTGTCTAAGTAGTTATAACAACCCAATAACAACTAATAATAGTTGTATACACTAATACATGCATCATGGCATAGTTAAGGGTGTGGGTCTAAAACTTTAGTCAGTTCCGCGAAAAAATGGGAGTGGGGCGGGCATGTAGGCCTTTCACCTCTAAAGGGTATATTAGAGGGTGGACATATTAGAGGGTGTGAGTCTAAAACCTTACCTCATCCTGCGAAAAATACCTGCAAAACAGGCATGTCCGACGGGCTGGACCCGTTTTCCCACCATTACCCGTTTTGCACTTGGAACGTCAAAGAGTTATAAATTATTCCTAAATCATTCCTGTTTTTGCTTTTCATTACAAAATTATCACATTATTTTCATCTTGGTTTTTGTTTTCAAATATTTATACATGGAACAATGAAAAAAAACGGAAATTTGTGTCAGTTTTCTCAAACAAACACACCCTAACCTTTTAATCCATGGATCTTTTCCTCATTCTACATTAATTGACTTGTACATTATTTATTTCCTATCAAAACTAGGATTACTGGACAATGTGCTTAGTGATTACTTATGGGCCAAGGCTGTTCTTCTTACATCAACCACAGTAGCTACCGCTGGACTCACAATTCAAGTCCCATTGGCTGCCATTATTGATACCTTCACTGGAAATTCTCCTCCCTTCATGGATTACCTTGGAGCAGTAGCCGTTATGATCGGCTTTGCAGGAATCAATATTCCGGCCGATACTTTTAGCAAATCAACAGAATCTAGTGCTGTGGAATTGAAAAATGAGGATGTGAGTATAAGGGATGAAGAGCATGCTTTGCCAGGAACACAAGATTCAGCCGCTGTACTGTAACATGTATGTACATTGCATTCATTTTAGTTATTAGTTCAAATGTAACATTTTTTGTTAGTACCAAATTTTGTTGCAATAATAGGAATGTACTATACAAAAATTGAAGAATCAGAACAAGGGGGTGTATACACATTTTACTGCTGGAAAGCCATGTGAATTGCCTTGAAGATTTGCAAATTAGATTAACAGAGCTATATTCTCAAAAAGCACTTGAATCGAATAGAACCGGAAGCAGTGCAAATGGGTGATTTGACCGCAATGGAAAAAAAAAATGTTGATAATATGGTACAACATCCTTCAATGTTGATAATGTGACAATGTGACGGTAGATGTTTTCAATGTATATTTTCACACGGATACTGTCTGATACGTCCATTTATTTTTAAAATATGATAAAAATAAAATAAATAAAAGATAAAATTGTTCAACCAAAATAATTTATTATTTTAAAAGAAATAAATTGGTGTTTATAATTTACTTTTATATATAAAAAATATTTGAATCAATAATATTTTTCGTTTGTATTTAAATATTATTTAAGTTTGATATTATTTTTGTTTTTTAAAATTTATTTTCATTTATTAAAATAAGACTATTTAAAAATATTTGGATCAACAAATTTTGAATTGATAATTTTCTATTATTCAATATTTTGATTAGTAGTTTTAATTTTTCATTCATATAATTATTATAAACCCGTGGATTTTGATTGGTAGTTTTATTTTTTCATTCATATAATTTCTATAAACTCGTGGCTACACCTGAGTATTAGTATGGTAGTTTTATTTTAAATCCGTGAACACGGATATTGATATTACTAGTATGGTAGTTTTATTTTAAATCTGTGAACACGGATATTGATATTACCGTACATTTGTTTTTAAAATATAATAAAAATGAAAAAAAAAAACAAAATTGCTTAACAAAAGAATTTATTAATTTTAAAAGAAAAATATATTTTTATTTATAATTGAATCGTAAATGTAATTTTTGTTTATATATAAATATTTGGATCAACAATATATTTTTTCGTATGTAAATATTATTTGTTTTATTGGTTTATTATGAGTTTAATATATCTTATTTTTTCATACAAATATTTAGATCAACCGTATATTTTCTCGTATCTCTTATTTTTTCATTATGAGTTTAATATGTCTTATTAGTAAAATATATTAGTTTTACTTCTTTTAATCATAAAATAATTAAGAATATTTAATATTATCATACAATTTTTTATATTATTTAATTCATATATTACTTATGTATTTATTCTAGATTGCGATATTATAATTTATTATCTTTCATAATTTTTAATTTTTAATGCATTTCACCCGTCTTATTTTATGTCCCTTCTGTTAGTATTTATATTAAATTTTATTTAATTCATTTATATTGCAGGATTAATTTGTAAAAAAAAAAGATTGTATGATTATTGATTTATTTATATGAAATCACGTGTATGAAAATATCATGTTTTGAATATCATTCATTCCTAAATATCATTTAAAATAATTAATTTTTGTATTCTTTCACAAATATAGTAACTACCATTTAAAATATGTTTATTTTGTAAAAAATATGCTCATTTTTTTTAATTAAAAATGATTGCATATTTAACTCTTATGATAATTAAAAATTTGTTTATTAATTATTTAATAATTTTCTTATTTTTTAAATATAAATATTATTTATAAATAATTTCAAAATTAAAATATTAATATCATAAATAATTAAAAACAACACTTTTATCTGTATTTGGATTCATATATTATTTTAAATATATATATATATATATATATATATATATATATATATATATATATATATATATATATATATATATATATATATATATATATATATATATATATATATATATATATATATATATATATATATATATATATATATATATATATATATATATATATATATATATATATATATATATATATATATATATATATATATATATATATATATATATATATATATATATATATATATATATATATATATATATATATATATATATATATATATATATATATATATATATATATATATATATATATATATATATATATATATATATATATATATATATATATATATATATATATATATATATATATATATATATATATATATATATATATATATATATATATATATATATATATATTTTTTTTTTTTTTTAATTATATAAAAAAATATGATAATCTGTGAGTTTGCATCTGATCTAGATACTCGTGCGAACCGTGTGCGATTCGTATTTGATTTTAAAATATAAAAAGAATAAAAAACAAAAAGACAATATTATTTTTAAATTTTTTTATTATATTTATAAAAAAGACATATATTTTATTTAGCTACCATAAAATAATAGAATGAAAAGTTATATAAAGGTAGAATGAAAAGTAATGAAAAGATTTGATATTATTATAATTTATTAACTATTAAAATGAATTTTATCATTATTACCTATATAATTTAATATTATCATCAATTCAATAACAATAGTATAAAAATGGAAAGATTAAAATTTAAGTAATTAAAATATTCAAAATTGATAACATACAATCAAATTATTAATATAAAAATATTTTGATTTTGATTAGTAAATAAAACTTAAATAAAAATAAAAATAATTATATTTCTTTGTCAAAAAATACTTTAAACGAATAATAAAAAGCTTATACGGGATTGAGGTGAGACTGGAGTAGGTATCATAATAAACCAATAATAAAAAGTTGCTAAGCTGATAATTAAAGTAATATTCTGATAGTTAAAAAGAAATATTTACACCAAGTGTAAAAGCACAACCATGAGAAAAAAAAGGAAGTACAGTGTCAAATAACATTTATAATGAACGTTTTATAACAATATTTTAGAGCCACAAATATAAATATTTATTAAGGAAGGTAAAATGCACAACTAAATGAATTCTCATTTTAAAATGAAAATAAAATAAATGAGGAATTCTAAATTCTATTTCATCATAATTTCAGCTTCATTTTCTACAACAACGTGCATGAACGTAAGACATCTCTCCTTTCAGGCTTTTACTTCCAACTCTCATAAAATAATAAAATAACACGTATGCAGCAGAGACATAATTGTCATCAAAATGGTATCACTTATTATCATTAATCATGAAAAACAATACCTTAGGATTAGGGTTAATGAAAAAACAAGAAGAAAATTGATTATAACTATTATTTTTTACTTTCTCTGAATCAGATTACAAGTACTCAAGAATAATAAATAACTTTCACCCTAATTAGAATTTGCTACTACCCTTACAAAGATGAGAGACTAGCATGTTATTTATAAAAAAACTAACATAATAACCTAATGAACTTTTACACACAGATCCATTACACAAGCTAACTTAGGAAACAAATTAACTTAAACAATTGGATCCTTAACACAAGGCCTAACTCGACAACTACATACTATAACAGAATTCGACTACAGCATGCGAGCAGACTTCAACAACATGTTAAACCTTTGTCGACAATACTAGAGTTCGATCCAATATCTCACGGATCTCCACCTTGTAACAAACTATATAACATCAAGAAACAAACTAGCTTTCTTTATGCAGCTTTATCAATTGCATACACTGAAAAAACTTGCAACTGTGCAATGTCTTGGTGATCATATCAGCAACATTATGATCTGTCGAAACCCTCTGACAAAATGCAACCTCACATCGATGTGCTTGGTTCGCTCATGATAGGCTGAATTCTTTGACAGGTATATTGTACTTTGACTATCACATGTAATAGTGATAACTCGACCTTGAAGTTTCAGCTCATTTGCAAAACTTTCAAGCCACAATGCTTCCTTCACAACATCAGTTAGGGCGATATATTCTGCTTCAGTGGTTGATAAGGCAACAACCTTCTAAAGTGTTGCTTTCCAACTATTTGATGTGCCAAACATAGTGAAACACATATTCAGAAATAGATTTTCTGGAATTCATACAACCTGCATAATCAGAGTCGACATATCCTTTGATTGATGCTTTACTATCTTCACCCAAGGCTCCACCATAAATTAGGACTCTGTTCATAGATGCATTTTTGTACCTTAGAATTCACTTCAATGCTTGTCAGTGAGCCTTTCTAGGATTCGCCATATACCTGCTTACAAGACTTACTACATATGCTATGTCGGGTCTAGTACAGACCATAACATACATTAAAGAACCCAATATATTAACATATGTAATTCTATTCATATAGGCTCTTTCGAAATCAGTGTTGTGACATTGATCTATACTCAGCTTGAATTGAGGGTTTGTCGGAGTCACAACAGACTTTAAATTCGACATACCAAACTTTTCGAGAATCTTCCGTAGGTATGCCTCTTGAGATAAGCATAATTTCGACTGCTTTCTATCTCTTTGGATGTCAATCCCAAGAATCCTGGACGCACCTCCCAGGTCCTTTATGTCGAACTCCTTATTGAGTTCAACCTTCACCCTCATTACATCTTCAACATTGTTGCTTTGTATTAGAATATCATCCACATAAAGCAACAACATAAAAAATGAATTACTAGGTCGAAATCTGAAGTAAACACAGTGGTCAAACTAACTTCTAATGAAACTTATGCGTGTCACGAACTTGTCAAATCTCTTATTCCTCTGTTGAGGAGATTGTTTCACTCCATATAAAGATCTCTTCAGTTTACACACAAAATCTTCCTTCCCCCTTTCGACATACCCTTCATCAAGATTGTTTCATCTAGATTACCATATAAGAACGCATTCTTCACATCCATCTGTTCTAGTTCAAGGTCAATATGTGCCACCGTGACAAGAAACATTCGAATGGACCTGTGCTTCATAACAGGAGAGAACACATCACTGAAGTCGATACCTTCTCTATGAATGAAACCCCTTGCGACCAATCTTGCCTTGTATCTCTTCGACGTTACTCATTCGATCCTTCTTTAACTTTGAAAATCCACTTACAAATGACTAA